TCTCCCAGTGACAGGCGCAAAATAGTGTCTACCTTGGGAAGCCACGGTGCCGGGAAGGAAGAGGACAAAGCGTCCCCTTTCACACAGAAGAAACTGCACCTTAAAAGCCTTGGAAGAATGCAGATGACAAAAACTGTGGTGAGGACTGGAACCTACCCCCCACCGCCCCCACCGCCCCATCTTGGAACAAACAGGGCTCCGCTACAGAGCCAGCAGCCAGCACCCTCCCTTCCTACCTTCAGGGCACACACATCCCCCCCCCCCCCCCGAAATATTCTTAATGCAGTACGAGGAGGGTCTTTGATAACCTCTTGGAATTTTCTTTACTTTGAGCACATTAAGGAAGCAAGGAAGGGAGCATCTGTGCAGCCTGTGACATAGCAGCTTGGTGGGGGAACTTTTCAATCCTGGCTTTCCTCGTATTTGGAAAAGAACGCTTAAAGACGTGACTTTGTTTTTATTGGGCAACAGAGAAACAATGTAAAGTTTAACATCCTCAGCTGACCCTTCCTCCTACCTAGAGGCTCGCAGGCCATGGGCGCCCGCAGACCAGTGGCTCTGCTGTGAAGGAAGGAGGCATGGTTGCTCCCCCCCACCCCCCCATGGACTTGGTTTTTCCAAACCAAAGGGAAACAGATCGGTCTGGGTCTGGGTACGCAGCCCTCCGTGTCCTGGGTGTGCAGCCTGACAAAACTTGCGGGAGATCTCCGCAGAGAGGGAAGGATGGAGATGGATATCTTTGGCGAGCCCTGTGTGGTACCTGCCATGCAAGCTGCCTCTGAGCGCTGTGCGTGCCAGCAGCACAGGCTTCCTAATAAGCTCGTCAACTTTAGGGAGAAAGCGGTGGCAAAAGGCATTCGCACTTGCAGAGATAACCAGGTCTGAGCTGACTGACTCCGCATGGAGGGTCTCTGATGAGAGGCCGGCCCCCAACCTCCTCCACCTCCGGAAGGAGGGCCTGCCTGAGTATCTCCTCCTTGTCCCTTTAGCATCTCTGAACCCGGAGCAACTCGTGAGTCCCCTACTGCTTCTCAGCATCACCACCAGCACTGCACTCCCTCAGGAAAGTGGTAGCCGGGGAGGGCTTATCCGACTCTGCTCATCTGATTGTTTCTGCTCTAGGACCCACAGTCCTGAAAACAGCCAGCTTGAGCCCCTCTCTCTATCACTGGAAGTCAGAGACCAGAGGCGTTTGTAAAAAATCTCCCCCAGGCCCCCAAGATCTCCCCAAACCTGTAGCTGAAACTTTGCAGAACAATCACATCTAACTTTCCTTCTTCCTTCCATCTCCTTGCTTCCTCCACTCAGAATTCAGTGTTCATGGAAGCCCGGAGTCCCCGGGAGCCGCTGCCTGCAACAGGGGCTAAAGCAACAAACTTTGCAAGTTACCACCGGGGGCTGTGCCAGGGGCGGCGGCAGCGCAGTGGCAATCCCCATGCTCCCTTCTGACTTGGGGCTGTGAGGAGATAGTGGGGTATAATCAGGGGAATGGGAGGGGGCTGGGGGTGGGTGTTCCCCTCCTCTCCAGCTTCAGTGAAAGTGTTACAAAGTGAGTCAGGCGACTGAGGATCATCTGACTGAACTTCTTGAAACCGACACACATTCTTGTGTGCAGCAACTTGCTTTTTGCCTCCTTCCCCCCCTCACCCCTCTCCCCCTTCCCTCCTGCACATCTTATTTTCTGGGAAGGGATTTCATGCTTTCTATGTGGGCCAAAGGGGACTGTCCACTATGGATTAACTTGGCCCTGACACTGTCTCTGCCAGGCATCTTTCTAGCCTGAGAACACGAAAGGCTAGATTTTTAGTTTCTCCTTTCTCTCTTTGTAAATTTATTTTCCTCCAGCTGCCTCCGGCTCCTTTGCTTTTTAATAATCGTATACAGCCCCGTCTTCTATCTAACCCACGTTCTCGGCTGGCCTTTCACACACTCTCACACTCACACACACACACACACACACACACACACACAGCTTTACACGTTTTATCTCCTTGTTGCCTTAGTCTATATATACACTGTTGACTTCATTAAAATTATATAAAGTGCAATTCTAGTTCCCTGGATGACCATCTTTTTTTTCCCTTCTCTTTTCTTTGCAGCTTCTACTTCTATGATTAGTATTGCCATTATTTCTTTCCAAGAATTTCTATATGATTTTGATAAGCATCATCATATTTAGTGTTATCAGCAAAGACACAAGCTCAAAAGTGACATGTTTTCCACGAATCCAGGAAAGAAGAAAAATCCACTCAGTTCAGATAAATCCTGGCAATTCCCAAAGGAAAAGGCATTGGATACATGCTTGACGAGAAAAAAATGGGGAAGAAAACTCTTCTACCTGCTTCTGAAAACTAGGACATTGCCCGGTCAAATGAAACCCAAAGCAAAACACATTTAAGTCACCAACTCACAGAGATTGCTCGGAAAGAGAGACAGGTAACAGCCAAAGTTCGAGAAGCCCTCAGAGACGGGCAGGCTTGCTGTGCAGTGTGCAGAGACTGGGCGAAATGCCTTACAACGTGCAATTCAACTTTCCATTTCAGAGTGCGGTGGCTTCTCCCAAGTGAGTGGCTGGGCAGAGGGGAGATGGGTGCAGGGCCCACGACTGAGGCAGAGCCCCTCCCCGGTGCTGGTGCTCAGTCCACCTGTACAGCCCCCAGCAGGCCTCCCTCTCCCCGCGCCACCCCCTCTTCCTTCTCCCCAGCGGCTCCCAGGAAGCCCGGGAGCCCTCCGTGTCCCCAGACCTGGGCTCAGGCCTGACCTCACTCCTGGGGCCAGGCTGGTCAGCGGTGGCAGAATCCCCGAAGGAAATGGGAGGGGGCGGGCAAGAAGAAACAAACATTTTAAATAGTCTCTTCTGCAAAGACACACTTCTGGGAACCTTGCTTTAAATTTCATTCTCCTTTTCTCTCTCTCTTTCTCAAAAAAAAAAAAAATGATTGTTTAACACAAGGGGAAAAGCCTCCTGGACACAAAGCTTTTGTTATCCAGTTGATCAGCAACGTGCTTTAGATACTTGTAAGGGGTGGGGGGGCACAACAGACATTGATTTTAGAAAATCAATAACTGACGTTTAATAAAAGGGAGAGGAAACGCGGGAGAGGAGAGAGTCCGCTAGGTGTGATGTTAGTGGCTCCTAAATTACCCAGGGATGGGAAAGGGGAGGTCTCCTGCGGAAGGACCACCTTAAACACTGCCAGACACTAGAATGAAGGAAAAAAAAAAAATAGAGAGAGAGACAGCCTGAACTGGAGGTTGGGGAAGCAGCTCAGAATATATTATTATAGTTGTTTTTTCTTCTCTCTCTCTCTCTCTCTCTCTTTTTTAATACCAAGTCAAGCAAATAGATCAAAGGCAGCACAAAGGGAAAAGGCAGGATAACATAACGAACAGTTTCTGACTAAAATTCCTCTATCACTCTCCCATATGGCTCGACACCTCCGCCACAACAAGCAAAAGACACACACACACACACACACACACACACACACACACACACAAAACCTAGAGAGAGAGACAGAGACAGACATACAGAGACAGAGGAACAGAGAGAGAGAGAGAGTCAGGGAAGCAGCATCATTTGTCTCTAATCAAATGTCTCTAGTCTTTGTGTTTCTTCCCCTCCAGCACCCCACACTGCGCCCCCAGCGCCCCTCCCCGCGCCGCGCGCTCAGGGCAGGCGGGGGCCCCGCACGATCGTCTTCCCGGGAGGAAAGTTGCTCCCAAGTGGGGCCCGGGGACCCCGCGGGGCGCGGGCCGGGCTGCGGGCGGCGGGAGGCCGGGCGGCGCCGCGACCCCGGGTCCGGCTCCGGAGCGTGACCGCGGCCCCCGCGCCGGCGCCCCGGCCCAGAGCGCGGGGAGCGAGAAGTTTCCTTCCCCGGGCTGAGGGCTGAGCTGGCGCTAGTTCGCGTGTTTGTTTTGGGGGGCTGGCTTTTCTTTCAAACTCCGCATCCTCCGTCAGCTCCCCCGGCCCCGTCTCTGGTCCCCGGCTCTCTCCCCTCCCCCAGGCGCCTCCTGCGCTCTTGCCAATCACTTTTCTCTTTTATTCCCACGATTTTGTTTGGGGGTAATACCTAGGGGGTCTCTCTCTCTCTCTCCCTCTCTCTCTCTTTTACTCTCTCGCTCTCTCTCTCCCTCCCCCTTCTCTGCCTCTCTCAAAGATGGACCTACTAAACTGTCACCGCTTCCATCTCCCACCTTCTGTCTGTGTGTCCCCCTGGCACCCCCATCTTCTTCCTCCTTCCCGGCGCAGCCTGGATAGCGGGCTCCCTCCTGACCGCTAGAAAACTGTCCAGAAAAGTCGCCCTGTGTCCTCCGACCGGCCGGCCGCCCCCCGGCGAGGGGCCAGCTCCCCGCTGGGGAGAAGCCACCCGCCCCCCAAGCCCGCTCGGACCCCGCCGGACCCAGCGCGGGGCGGCCGGAGCCCTCCCACCGCGGAGCCGCGGGCGCGCCCAGCCGGCCCCGCCGCCCGCGGACCGTTACTTGGCTCAGAGAGGCAGCGGGGCGACTCCGGGAAGAAACTTTGCGCGTCGTAGAGGCACGGCCCCGGGCCCCCTCTCCTTCCCGAGCCACGGTCCCCGAGCCTCCCCCAGCCCCCGCCTCTGGAGCCTGCAGAACCGACCGGGCGCCCGGGCCCCCGCCCTGCCCAGCCGGACGCTCCGCAGCCCGGGCGGCGGTGGAGCCGGCGGGCCGGGAGCGAGCGGAGCGGGAGGCGGAGGCGGGGGGCGCTAGGGGCGGCGGGGATGGGGCGCGGGGCCCCCCGTGCGGACCCCGCCGCGCACTTGCCCGGCTCTTCCCCAACTCCCCCCGCCGGTCCCCGCGCGCGGGGCTCGGGCGCCGGCCGCCGGGGGAAGAGGCTCGCCCGCCCGCGAGCCCCGGGCGCCGCCGCCGCCGCCGCCGCCGCCTCGGTCCCTTCTCCCTCTCCCCCCGCCCGCCCCGCTCCCCGGGTCCGGGGCCGCGGCGTGGCGGCCCGGAAAAGTTTGGTTCGGGCCGGTTCTTACCGTTTTTCCTCCTGGGATTGGCTTGTTTGCGCCTCTTGCACCGGGGGCCATCCGCCATGATCGGCTGCTTCATTGATAAGAGCGGATCAGATGGCAGTTCGCATGGACTCGGCGCCCTGCTCCGGCGGCAGCACGCAGGCGGCTCGATCTAGCAACCAAACACACGGCGACAATGTGGGCATCGCCCGCGCCCATCGAGGCGCGCGCGGGCCGCCCCGGGGAGCCGGGCCAGGGCCCCGGCCAGCACCCATCCGCGCCCCCCCCCCGCATCCCTCCCCGCGCCAAAGCGAAACTTCGGCGGCCCCCTCCCCGCCCCCAGCCCCAGCCTGGCGGGCCCCGAGGCGCTTTGTGTGTGTGTGTGTGTGTGTGTGTGTGTGTGTGTGTGTGTGTGTGTGTGTGTGACTGTTGTTTGGTGTGTCGCACCCGCGAGGGGATCGGAGACCAGAATTACATCTTGCACATGAGTCATGACTCCTGCCCGCCCGCAGGAGGGAAGGCACACAGCGGTGCAGCCAGGCGGCCGGGCTCAGGGCTTAGGCGGACCCTTTGCTCCGAAAAGTCCGCAGCCAGCCTCGGGGACTTGGGGTGAGGAGGCGACGCTGCTTTCTTTCGCTCTGAGCTGGTCTCATCCACCCCCCACTCACCCACCCCATTCCCCAGAGAGGAAACAGACAGACAGACAAACAAGCAAACAAACAAACAAACGCGAAAGCCACCCCCCGGAGGAAGCACACCCGGACACATTGGAGAGAGAATAGTAATGATAGGAAAGCCCCCAAGCCCCCGACCCCTCCCCTCCTCCTCTTTCCCAGTGGATCGAGGCACCGTCTCTTCTTCCCTCCACACACCCCCCCCCCCACCTCGCCCCCAAATTGAGGTTTTTCCCGTTTCACGCCAGAGTAAGAAATAGAATTATAAGCCTCTCTGGACACTGTTTCTCCCCCCCCTTACCCTCCCCCCCACCTCCGCCACTTTGACAATATTTACTTATTTCCCCCCACCTCACTCACACACATGCTCCCCTCACACACTGGTTCCCTTAAATAGTTCCAGAAGAAGAAGAAAAAAAAAATTTTTTTTCTCTTTCTCCCCCTCAAGAAAGGAAAGAGAAAGTCCAACCGCCACGGCGATACTTTTAAGCTTCTACTCCCACTAAAGGATCGTATCCTCTCCTGGCTTCGAAACTTTTGTACCTAAAAATCGAGAGAGGCGCTGCATTTTTTTTTCCTCTCTCTACTCCAGCGGAAAACTGTCAAAACTTGGAGAAGGGGAACCTCGGAGGCAGGCAGGAGAGGAGGAGGAGGAGAATCCTGAAACTCCGTGGGGCTGGGAAGATGCTGTGCCTCGAGGATTAGTTTAAACAGGGGGCTATAAAAGATGTAACAGATGCAAACTGTAACACAGGGCCATTAACCCTTCCTCCGCCGGGCCCGCCCGGCCCCCCGCGCCCCGCACCTATTGTCTCCAGCGCTGGAAGCTTTGCGGAAAACCTGGAAAGTGAGTATCAGTTTCCACACGTTTGCCGAGAGGGGTGGGGAGGGGGGGGGAAGCAGAGAGAAGGGGAAGTGAATTATTTAGAAAGCACCTTGAATTTAACCTAGGCAGAGTGGGAGAGTTTGCAAGTTGACACATTTTGTCATTTCTTTGCTCTCCCCTGGATTTGAAATTGTTGTTTGTTTGTTGTTTGTTTGTTTTTTTTGGGGGGGGGGAGAGAAAAAAAATTCTGAAACACAGAAATGGTCACACAAGTGTCTGGGGTGAAACAGCTGGCCTGCCTGTATTCCTGCTGAGACTTACACAGGATTGCATATAAATACATATTTAATAAAGTAAGCTGTTAGTTTTATGAGTGTGTGTGTGTGTGTGTGTGTGTGTGTCCAGGCATTATTGCTGTAAACTTTATCTTTGCCTGTTATTCCCAACTCTGGAGTTAGTCATCATTACAGGGGAACATGCAGAGAATACATGGACAAGTAGGTGGGAGAGCCACACAGTTATGCTAGCAAGGCTCACTCCTGTTCCTCGGAACTCCTGCTCGCTCTCTCGGGTTTTTCAGTGCCCAAGCATGGAATGGAAGAAGTGTGTGTGAGTGTGTGTGTGTCTCCTGTTCAATCTCTCTGTATTACTATGCCATTTAGAACACAATTTCAAAAGTTACCCTGAACATAAAGCCCTGCTATCCTGACAGCAGTTTTTGTCCCAGCTGTAGTGACCACCCCCCCCCCCCCACACACACACTTTGGTAACCGACTCAAGTTCCATGAGGACTTTCACTTCTTTATTTATCATCACAGAAGTGAGGTGTTACTTCACATACATACACACACACAAAGAATGAAATAAAGAAATGAAACTCACTAAGCAGACAGAAAACAGACACTTTTTCTGCTTAGAAAACAGCCTTCTCCGGTGGGAGAGGAGGATGGACTGCCATCTCTCAGAGAAAGACTCGCCCCCAAATTTGGTAGGTTTGTATCCGTCAAGTTTTGTAATTATTAACAGGTATCTGCTAAGTTTTAATCGCTGAGTCCAATGCATTGAACCTATAATAGGTGCAGAAAATAGCACAGAATGTCTCCCCTGGAAGAGTTTTTATTCCAATCATACAGTTCTCGATAAAACTTTTCGTAAGCTTGGGCAGCAAAAGGCACCTTTGGTTACCTGAATGGACAGGTACAGGGCAAAATACCTGGGGGAGGAGGAGAAGGGGAAAGGAAGCAGGGAGAGCAGGAGTGGGAGAGAAATCGGAGAAGTCACTTGTGGGAAAAGCTTGCCCAAAAGGAGCTAAACCCACCTGAAATTCTTACCCATAGACACTCCTTCCCTCTTCACACTCACATCCCACTTCCAAGGAGAAAATCATAAAAAGGAGAGTGGGGGTGATCATACCAAAAGGGAATAAAAAGAGAGAAAAGGGAGAAAAGAAAAAAAAAAACCTACCTGCGAAGTCTTGTTTGTAGTTTTGGCGAGAAATGGTGAGAAGAAAAAGCATGAAGAAGCCGCGGAGTGTGGGGGAGAAAAAGGTGGAAGCGAAGAAACAGCTCCCGGAGCAAACTGTACAAAACCTCGCCAAGAGTGCGGGAGGCAGGACCGTTATTCCTGCGGAGCAGGTTAGAACTGATCTCTCTGAGCCACGCCACTCCAGGAAACACAAACCTGGGGACGGACTGACGTGTTACGCCTCTTCTAATGACATTTTTTTCTTTTTCTTTTCTGTAGGAGAGAGAGAGACCCTGAAACACGCGCCACCTATCTTTGTGGGGAGGGATAATTGAAGCGCCCTGAGCGTGAGCATCATGTGAAAACGTGATCGCCAAGTTTCTCTCTGGGAAAGGATCTGGGATAGATTATACCTTGAAGTCTCCGCAAACGCTTTAGTGGAAGAAATGAAATTCCACCTCCCTCCCTTCCTCTCTCCCTCCCTCCCTCTCGCTCGCTCCCTCCCTCCCACCCTTCTCCACGCCCCCCCCCCCCCCCAAGCCTTTGGCATCATTATCCTCACCACTAAATCCTACAGAGTTCTGGGCGGAAAGCGGTGCACACCATTCACTGAACTGGTGTGTCCTAAGGGGTGAAAGTTGAAGAGGAAGATCCCGGTCCTCAATCCGGATCGCCTCTTCTTATATGGAGATCTTAATGACCAGATTTGAGATGCACATGGATTTCTCAGCACAGCTTCTGGAACTAAATTCTCTGCCCTTTCTCTTATTTTTCTTTTCTTTTCTTTTAGATGCCAGAGCCAGGAAAGCGGGGGGGAAGCTACATGTGAACTGCATCTTAGGGTGTGTGTGTATGTGTGTTGGGATGTATGTATGTGTGCGTGTAGGATGAATTTCTGGATCGGATCCTCAGACTAAAAAGTGGTCTGGCATTTTAAAAAGAGGGTCTCTAAGTAATTAACAGAGAGCTCTGGGTTGACAGATCTCTGAATCCCTCTGCATCTCCTGCAGACACTGCTATAAAGTGTGTAGTGAGGCAGGAGGAAAAGGAGAAAGGCCATAGAGGAACTTAGCAGGGAAGGGAGAGCTTGATATTAAACAGCAGGGGGGCTAAGTTTTGGAGTATATATATTTTTTTGATATTGCAATTAAAGTAAAATTAAAAAGAAAAGACTCCACCTTTGCTCTGAAGGGATTGGTTATGTAAATATGGAAGGGATTTCCTGGAGAATACAGCTTTCTACTGTATGGTTAATTAAATAATCACTCAAAAGCTTCCAATGTGACGCTTCTGTCGTAATCCAATCAGGTTACATAGGTCCTAAACAAGAAAGATATTTTCCACATCTGGAAGTCAGCAATTTAGCAAGTACTGCACATTATTAACCAATTCAGAGCCCACTTCCCAGGGGAATTTTTTTTGTGTGTGTGAAGTTTAAGTGTTCTTAACCAATGCTCTGCTGTTTTGTTAATCAAAAAGCTGGTTTACACTGCACATAATTGGAACTAATACAGAAGTAAATAAAGACAACCAAATTTGAGGATGCTGAGCACAGGCATTTATCGGAAAAGGAAGAAATCTCTTAGCCTCCAATGGTTCAGGCTCAATTTCTTAAAGAACTGTGAGGCTTCTTTTTTTTTTCTTTTTTCTTTTTTTTAAGAGTGAAAGTGCTTGCGAACCTCAGAGCACAAATAAACTCCCAGCCCCACAACCTTAGGCGTCCAAGCAAAGGTAAAGGTAGTGGTGTCAAGGGGGCCAAAGAAGAGCCTCATGCCATTTTTGGGGGGCTTTCATATTGTTAATAGGTCACAGCCTCCCCCCCCCTTTTCAGTCTGATGAAATCTGAAATAAATAATACCCTGGTCCAACACTAGACTTTTACTTACATGAAGATAAACTGCTTTGAACTGTGCTTTGAATGTGTGCCTAAAGCAAGACTTTGAATGTAAGAGTCACTGGCAATTGCACTCAGAGGAGGGAAAAGCCACCACAAGGGTTGCCACATCCACACTCCCAGAGGTGCAAGTCTCTGTATTTTGTATGTTTATTTATTTTTGTGTGTGTGTGGGGTGGGGGGAGGGAAGGGAGCTGGGACAGCCACCAGCACGACTGCAGCCAATTCTTACTTTAGGCTGCAGGAAAGTCAGTTCTCACTGCTGGTTACAGACTCACCTCTTCTCCTAACTTGAATATTTATTACAGGGAGAATAGCTGGATCAATTAATCTTCTGCCCACCCCATTACAGAGACATCACCTATAGAGGAGGAGCAGTCAAGCTCGTCAGTCTAAAAATTAATACTAAAAAAAGAAAATTATTAAAGGTCTCCAACATGGGTTAGACACATTCTCGATTTTCTGTTTTACATTTCTTTCAACATTATTCACATACTAAATACGTATAATAATAGGCTTATCAAGACCCTCTTCTGAGGTTTAAGTCTATTATTAATATCCTTTTTTTTTTCCTTCCTCTTCCCATTCTCTAACCTCCCCTCCCCTCCTTAAAAAAAAAAAAAAATTAGAGGTCAGCTTTCTCTAGAAGTTTGATTTTCCTTCTCCCCTCTCCCTTTCCGGAGGAAGCAGGAGCCATTGCACGGAGGGATCCCGGAAGGACCCAACTTGAGGAGCCCACTCCCCGCCCAGACACACGCTCACAGGCAAAACCTCAGGTCCAAGGAGCCCATCGCACGGCTGTCAAATCACTTGCCTTTATTATCTCTATTTTAACGTCAGGTTCCTTAGGATCCGACTTACAAAAAAAAAAAAAAAAAAAAAAAAAAAAGACCTTTAAGTATTTCCCCTAAAAGCACCTCATCACTTGATTACTCTGGGCTCAGTAATTATTCAAGTGGCGGCAGGCGGCCCCAACACTTAGCCCTGGGAGTTCCGACAGGCAAGTATTTTACGTGAGGCAAACAGCAATCTTTCAGGTTCCCATCAAGGTGGAGATCTGGATGGGGGCGCTGGAAGGGTCCCCACTAGGCTGGGCGGGCTGCTAGGTTGCCTTCCTCCTCCCCCCCGCCCGCGCTTGGCATGGCCCATGGCCCTCCCCTCCCCATCTGACCAGCAGAGTTCCCACTGGCAGAGGCGGTGGGATCGCAGAAAGCCCAATACCAATTTGTCCCAACACTCCCTTAGTCCGAAGGCCAGGTCGGAACGATGGGGACGGTGGGATCGGCGGGATGCAGGAGCGCAGGGAAAAGTGGAGAGAGGAGAGAGGAGAGAGGAGAGAGGAGAGGAGAGAGGAGAGAGGAGAGAGAGAGAGAGAGAGAGAGAGAGAGAGAGAGAGAGAGAGAGAGAGAGAGAGAGAGAGAGAGAGAGAGAGAGAGAGAGAGAGAGAAGGGGGGGCTGGGCGCTGTTGGCTCTAGGCTCCTCACACAGCAGAGCAAGTCCTGCAAACGAACCGCTCCTTCTCGCCTCCCTTCTCCATGAATAATCCATTGCGAGATTAGCCCAGACGAAGGGGATTAGAACAACAGATACTTGCAAATGTGGAGTAATATTGCACCCGACATGGGAGGGAGGAAGATGATTATTTAGGGTTTCTCTGAGTAAAACAAACTGCCTCCCTCAGGATCCATCATCCCCTCCACCCAGGCAGGGGGAGAAGATGCACTTTTTGCTTTCCTGTTCCCTCCAGCCGGGACCTGGTGCCTGTCCCCCCATTCACCTCTCAGTCTGCCCATTCCCTCAACTTTCACCCCTTCCCTCCCCTCCCATCACCCCCACCCTCTGCAGCCCCCAGCGCCGCTTCAGGGCCCAAATGCCCCAAGAGATAAAGTTTCTGCCCCTGAACACACAGGCGGTAGAAGGAATTCGAATGTGGCCACAGCTAAATACATATATATACACACATGAAAGCAAATTCTGTTTATTTTGTACGACGTGGAGAAAAACGTTAAGAAGGAACTTATTCTCATTTTTTTTGAAACAGAATTGAGCTTCCCGCTGGAGGGATTCTGTGGGCCCCGGGTGGTCACGCAGGAGGGGGTCAGTTTCTCGGTGCCAGCCCAGGGCGATCAGGGGGACCCCTGGGCGGGGAGTGTGCGGAGGGGGAGGGTGGGGTGGGGGGCGGCAGGGGTCCAAGCCCAGCCAAACGGGTTCTCACGCGCAAACTCGCAATCCAATCCATTCCATTCGGAGTGGAGCCTAGGATAGGATCTAAGGGGTGGTGGTGGGGGGAAGGGGGGAGAGAAAATCAGGAGCATCTCTCTGCAAAGCCCTTTGCAACAAAATCCAAACAGGGACTCGCGAGCCCCCACCTTCCCTCCCGACCCCGCGCGCCCCCTGGCCCCCCAGCGGCGCGGCCGGCTGATGGGCTTCTTTTCTTTTAATTTTTTTTTCCTCGAAGTTAAGGCTGACCCTCGCTCGGCTTCCGTGCTTTTTTTTTTGTCAGCGTCTCCCTCCACTGACAGGAACCGGCAAACTTCGAGACTCCGATGCGCGTCTTAATGTGTTGATGCAAAGCGGGTCCGCCGGGCGCCCCCCGCCGCGGCCCTGCGTTTGGTCTCCGGGTAAGGCCCGCCGCCCGGGCGGGAGCGCGCGGGATGGGGAGGGTCGCCCCCGCCCGATCGCCTCCCACCCCCACCCCCCACCCCTCCTCTGGCCCCGGCCCCGCCCGGGGACCCCGCGCCCCCCGCCCGCCGCCCGGTCAGCTGACCGGCCCGCCGCCCGCTCCCGCTTCCGGTGCCCGGGCCGCGGGGCGCGGTGCGGGAGCGGCCGGTGGGAGGTGATGCTGGGGGCTGATTACCATGAGAAAGGCTGTGCCTGCAAAAGCCTCCTCCACGCGACTGCCAGTCTCCCTAAGGAGAGGGGGTGGTGGTGCAGGGGGCCTCCCCAGGAGGCCCCGGCAAACTTGCAGGGAGTTGGAGGCCCCGCAGGCCCGAGGAGGCGGCTCGCGCCCCAAGTTGGGAGGCTCCGGGCGCCCGGGGCTCGGGCGCTGGCTGCCTCGCTGCCGGGGGATTGGAACCCCCCATCCTCTCTTTCCTCCCGCCTTCCCTCTCGCTCGCCTTTCCAGCCCTTCTTGCCCTTTATCCTTCTTTTCTTGACATTCTTTCCCAATTGCATTTCCTACATTCCCCTCGCTTTCTGTTTGATCTCTCCCTTTTTGCAATCTCTTGTTTGGTTTCTTAACCACCCCTCTGCTCCCTGGCTCTCTCATCTGCCTCCTCCTCTGCGTGTCCAGATTTATCCTTTCGTCTGGAAAACGCAATGTTAAATATGTTAATTAATCTGCCAGCAGGAGGTCAGGGACACCCTGACTAAAATAACTCCCTGGGTCAGCAGAGAACAAGTTCACCAGGTGTCTGAAAAGTAAAAAATAATAACAACAATGCCTGTGTAAATCGGTTATCTCGGGGAATCATTATAGCTTCTCATTCTGAATGATCAGCTCAGCTCAAATCGCCTTTTTCTTTTTCTTTCTTTCTTTTTTTTTTTTTTTTTTTAACAAATATATGATCTTTCCAAAAATGAACACTTCGAATAGAGAAATTCTTTCGAAGTAAGGCAATGTGAAACATTTCCTCATTCATAGTGATATTTTCGCAGGCTTTAGAAGTGCAATAGGTAATTTTAGGAAACGTAAACTGTGCTTTTGTGCTTTTTCTTTTAGTGACTCTGAAAGTGTAAAAAATTTCCCCAAACACCACTCCCCCCCCCACCTCCTAACAAGATCCGTCTATTCAGAGAGAAACATCATGCCACGTATTCTGTACATGCTAAGCAGAAGCACAGCTTAGATTGTTGGACTGGTTGCTGGGCCAGGTTGCCTCCTTACCTAACAAGTTAGTGAACACAGAGCTGCTTAG